AAAAATTGCAGGTTGTGTACCTTTTCAAAACTAATTTGCTAGCTCACTTCTGTCCACAGGCACTTTCTCTTTCTGAAAGGATTTATTATATATTCAATACTACTACTACTAATAATTATAATAATGAAATTAACCCATTACTGCATAAAGTTTCATTAAAACTTTACCTCTTTTTGCCTAATCTACATTGTTGCCTAATGGTAATCCTAAGGTTGGTGGGGATTTAAAATTTTAAGTAGCCCCCAACTCCTCTCTAAAGAATTGAATGTCAAGTACTAATGGGTTACATAGTTTCAGCATCCTTTCTTAGTAGTAGTTAATTAAATCAAAGAAGGCATGAAACTTACTAATTATTAAATCCAGAGAGTGCCTACCTACCAACTTTTGGCTTATATTGTATTTCATTTATTTGGAAGCCAGTCAAGCCAAATAAAAAAATGAATGCTAACTAGAGTTATTGAAATTCCCAGGTATTGACAACCAAGATATCATCATTACTTTCATATATAAATTTCAACAATTACTCACAGAATAGGATTATATATATATATATATATATATATATATATATATATATGTGAAATGAATAAACAGAATGGATAAAAATAAATTAAATGGAAAGAGTGGGGGGTAGATATTAAGAAAAGGAGAAAACATGGAGAGGTATAAAGACTCAAGATTTTTGTGACGATGAAGACAGAAGCTTGTGGTGTCAGTTTAGTAATGGTCATTAAGTTTGGTTCTGTCTAGAAAATAATCTTTCTATATGCAAACAAGTAGAATAATTCTCTAGTACTACTACTAGTAATAATTTCAATTTGTAACTATGAGTAATAGTGGAAATGTTATAATTAATTTTTTTTATCCAATCATTTTGAAGTTAATGTCAAAGACCTTATTTTTAAAAATCATCTGTTCACTTGGATTTTTTTTACAAAAAAATTTGGGTAAAAAATTCCAGTTGTAAAAGAACATGATCAAAAATTAAAATTTTGTAAAGCAGGAAAAAAGTAAAAAGCAGAGTTCAGATAAGGATTACATAATAAAGAATACTATTAAAATAGAAAAAAAATGAACCATTAATTTAAAAATTGTTGTTAAGAAAAAATTTTTTTTTAATTACTTTATGACATGAGTTATTTTGGTTTCATAGTTCAAACTAAGTTAAAAGGTTATAAATATAAAATAAATAGGAAACAGAGAGAGATTAAATCCACAACCAGATCTGAATAATAAGTTCATATATGAAATCAATAAAAAATAAATATGTTGAACTTTGTATGTATCTACTATTGTAGCTAAGTAATTTGTACACTTATAATGGACTGGTTAAATACTGATATCTACTTGGGAAATTTCAACTATGTAATTGGAAAAATAATTTGACATTTTCTTTAAAAAAATCCAGGCTTCCATTTAATGTTATTGAAAACTTATTTAAAATTATTTTGTATTTATATGATTTAATTCAATAAAAGTTTCCCAATAAATATAATAAATAAATCTTGATTGTTATTTCCCAATGCTTTTCCAATTCAACTTTCTCTAAGGGAAAGTAATTAAGAGATAATTTATTTGCCTTAACCTGGAATGACCATCTATATCTAGTCATTAATTGATTGATTTGTTTTTGACAGTTTGTCAACCCTTTGTGTGTTTAAAGCTGAAACATATATTGGATTGCAAGAATATTTTTTGTGAATGAATATTTAATTAATAATTTTTATGAGAATAACAATGATTTTTCCAGATACAAGTCCTACTATTTAACCCATAGCTGGGGGAGGAAGAGATTCATACCTTTCTCAAGAGCATTTGCACATAAGTGAATGTAACAAACCTGACTGAAATTCAAACATGGCTTCCTGATTTCTCATTCCAAGCCGTTATCTATTACATCACATGTACAACCTATCTATGTTCTAAAATATTAATTTAACCGAAGTCAATGAAATTGGGACCAAAATCTTATTTTAGACCTAAAATTAAAAAAAACTTAGAATGATAGAGAATTAAAATGTACAAAGCAGATAGAATTTAAAAAAAGGAGTAAGCAGGACGTCATTTGACAAGATAATGGAGTCTATAGAAAAATTTTAAGTTTTGTGACTAAAAATAACTAGAGATTGATAAGATATTAGTAACTATAAAATCTGGAAACAGAAAAAAGCATCCATCCAACCTACTAACCCCTAACAATGATCTTCAACATAATAAAAGCTATTTTCCAGCAGAAAATATCCTACCAGGAAACTAAATATATTAAAGACTAATTACTACATCACTCAGACCTTTGACATATCAACACACAGGATCAACAAAAATCAAAACCTTTTCAGAAGGATGCCAACTGAAAATGCAAATGGGGAATCAGAAATCCAACATACTGCAATTAAAGAGCCTGACTACATTTATACTGCCATAAATAATTTTTTCTCTATTCTAGTAGAACGATTTCAACTATAAAATTATTTTCTGTAATTGTGGCATTACCACCAGAGATTGTAACAAAAATTCTAGCTGCAATACTGGATCTGCAGAAAAATGAAGACTCTAAACAGACAGTTTTATCATTATATGAAAAGACAAAAACTTGAAATGCATGATAAGTTTATGAAGAATACTGCCATAATGAACTTGGTGTAAGTGAAGAGATATCTATCCCACAGGTAACTAACTACATATAAAAACTTTATATCTATACATATATAGAAAAAATAGCAGATGAATACCATTATTGTACAAAAATTTCCTCAATTTTGCATACACACATGCAACAAACAACCAACTTTGCAGAAGACAAAGCACCAATAAAAGCTACAAAGTAGAAACCTAAAAACACTAGTGTATGTAGATGAAAAAAAATAAAGAAACCTAAATAGTTTATGATCATCAAGGCTACCCAAATTATTTCACAGTTATATGGAAAACTAAGTCTGCAAATTCAGCTCTGTGCCTATTAAAAGTAAATGCTAAAATAAGAGTGACTAAGATTAAATATATAGCAGATGGAGCAGATATTTTAATTTTTCATTGTAATTACCTGGAGGTGAACATGTACCTTGTCATGGTCAAGTTAAATTGGAAGTCCAAAAGATCATTCCAATTGAATGGTTTGCTTTTTTATGGCATATCAACCTTTTGTAAAGCCAGAAAATATTTTTAGAATGTAAGAATATTTTTTGAAGATAATGATTATTAGTGATACATGGTCTAAAGGTGGATTCATACCTTTCCCAAGGGTATTTGTGTGTAAGTAAATATAACAAACCCAACTGGAATTGTAACTTAGCTCTTGTATTTCCAATTTTGAGTTATTATCTATTACACCACCCACACATCCAAGCTTGGGAATACCAGGTATTCGCAAGCGGTCACCTATTTAGGTACTGACCAGGCTTGACATTGCTTAACTTTAGGATCATTCCACTGTACACTTCTGAGAGTAGGAATTATTAATTTATGCATGGAATTTAATTTCTTCAATGACTTCATTCTAAATATGGACATTTTTCTTTTTTAATGGCTTTGTAGGTTATTTCAAATCGAAGTACATTTTGAATTGCAGGAAGCTGCTTACAGTGTTAACTACTGATAGCAGGAATAAGATAATATATAATGGTACAATATAAAGAAAAAACAAGTTTAAATATGACTAAAACCTTTATAAATTTCCTTATTAATGACAAAGTTACGTTGTTGATGAGAAAATTAAATATCCCAACCTCATAACATCTCACAAAGATAAAAAAGAATTTAAGAGACTATATCACCGGATCAATAGAAGAAAACATGTTCTTGCTTTTGTAAAAAACAGAAAATTATCAGCAGAAAAAGATACAGCAAACAGAAATTAATTAAAAAAAAAAATAACATACAGGAACTAGTTTTCTTTCAAATTGTGAATGAACAAGTCCTTTACAAATAGTACTGAAAACAGATGTTGCTATGGTGACTACTGTGTATTGAATAGCATTACAAAAGTAGACAGATATCCCATACCAAATATAAACAGTTTTACCATAAATTTTTCTAAAATTGATTTAATGACAGCTTATCAAATCAAATTGCATCCAAAGGATATATAAAAAAATGCAGTGATGACCCCATTTAGATTTTTACGATTACATAACATTATATAACATTAGATTTGAGTTAATAAAGTTTTACGACCATAAATAACAACCCAGAATGTAGCATACCAAAATAATAATAACTATAAGATTCAAAGACAGAAGAAAGCTATGTCCAACCTAACAACCAGATAAGAAACTCAATCATTTTGTGTGGAGATAATGACTCCAAGCTCAACAACAACTAACAAATGAAATGAATGAAGTGTTTAAGAGTTGATTGTCATTATGGAAACTGGCATAAAATGGGAAGACAGTTTATAAGAAGATAAAGATGTGTGTGCTGGGGTGGGGAAGAGGATGGTATCTGTACTTAAAATATCTGCTTCAAGTTAATCCTTTTTGAAAGTTAAAGAAATCATTGCTGGATGTCTTTAGTTGTTTTTTTTTTTTAGTCATTTTTAAAATATCTCAAATTTGGCAAAAGGAATTTAAACGAAAGAATAAAAACACTTTCAAGCTCAATTGTTACCCATTCAAATGGGACACATTTCCGAAAATTAGAATTAAGTTCATTAAATTTCAATCAGCATTCTCTGATCGTCTCTAGTGTAAGGGTTTACATGCATTCCAATCCATCACTTGATAAATGTGAGCGATTTGTTGAGTGAGAGTGTTGGAAGAATGTAGTTGGAAAAATAAATTTTGCACAAAGTTTGAACATTGATCAACTGATTGGTCAGCTTCAGCTAAAGTGAATGTAATAAAAGAAACAAAAATCAATTCCTTCCCTTGCAAACCCATCATAAAGTCTTTGATTTTATCATCCATCAATCTATAGAGTTGATTTTTTTGTATCACAGGCAATCTGGTCAAAGACGGATGAACAGATAAACAATAAACAGCAGCAGCAGTGGAAACTAGTTTTCATTCAAACACCAATGTCACTAAAAGCATACAAAAAATTCCAGCACCGATGCAGACGACTTGGTACAGGGATTGTCTGAAAAAGATAAAAACCGATTAATAAAAACTAGAAAAAACACATTAACTAAAATAATTATTTGACATGCAAGTTCTCCTGAATTTGCCAAGAAGTGTTTAAATTCATTCACTCACTATTTACATTATTTGGACTATTGTCCTCATCTTTATCGCCATATTTATTACAACGTTTCAGCTGTTGTATGCTCCAGCCTTCTTCATTTGGTTGGAATGTCAAACTGAACCCTTTATTTTGCTCACTGGAGTAGAATGTTCTAGTTCCATGTGCCATGTTTAATGGATGTCAGTTATCAGTTATCTCCTGTTAATTCCCCTCTCCAAGTTCTCCACCGCCTTAACCGGGTATTGAACTCAGACTCTTTGGGTCCTGTCACTGGATCTAACTAATGCCTTTATCCACTGTGCCAAAACGTAATAAATATAGCAATAAAGATGAGGACAATAGTCCGAATAATGTAAATAGTGTACAGAATACCTCATCTCAGAAATATAGACAGATTCATTCACTCACTTTATTCAGTTAGCACATTTTGCAATGCTGTCATCACCACTCTCCTCCATGTCACAGTTGTGGTTCATGGTGACATTTAAGGCAGAATAGTCTAATGGTATGCTGGTTAGCTTTTGCACATTACCCCATCTCTTCTCCCAGAAGTGGATTTGTTTTTGAATTTACCTTCATCTAGCCTTTGCCTAAAGAAGCAGAACCTATGAGGCAGCAGGTGGCATAAATGCAAAGTTTCCTTCTCCTAAACTGGTTGCCACTCAAGACTATAAGGCCTAGCCTCTTCTCCTATTTTACCCATATTTGGGAGGAGAAGAGATGGATTCATACCTTTCCCAAGGGTATTAGCATGTAAGTGAATGTAGCAGACTTGACTGGAATTCAAACACAGCTTACTGACTCCTCAATCTAAGCTGCTAACCATTACTCCACTGTGCCCCCTCTAATTTAAATGAGTGTACCAGATATATCATGAAATAGTTGAATGAAGTATTTTAGACTTCATCGTTGTTTTTTTTCTTCCAAAATAATATCTGTAGATATGACTGGGTGTGGTTGTAGGGTCACTCTGCAGCTGAGTACTTGACCAGTTCCCTCCACATATCTGGGTTGAAAGCTGGAGATGTGTTTGTTTATATGTTGTGTCTCTTCTGCAAGTAGACCTGGTAGATCCATCCCTCTCCAGGTCAAACCTCAGTCAATGTCCTTCAACTTGAAGGCTTTCTTTGATCATGGACATATGGCTATGGATTCCATTGAGGGAACTCTCCCCCATGGCCATTGACTTCAGCTGTATACCTAGCCATGAAATCCAGTCTATTCCATTGTGTTCCACTGACCCTACAAAAAGGTTAATCTTCTCTTTGACATCTTGTTTTTAATTGAACTAGTTGTCTAGCCATCCTCACCAGAAAAGCCTGGTGAGGGAACCAGTTTAGTTGCCAAAGATCAACCATGTAGTAGGTAATACTGGGTTACATGATACCAGCCTACTCAAACTATATTTAAATCCATTATTGATTAGTGTTTATAGGAATTGCTTTATATACTATAGGATATAAAATCCTATATTTTACAACCAATAGGTGAAACACAAATAAGATCAGAATCACTAAAACAAAAACTTTTGTAGGAATCAGTAAAAAAATAGGATCCAAAATTAAATAAGTGACTTAGAATTTGATTGAACAGTACAATCACATGCTATGCTTCCAACTACATCCATATGTTTTAACTCCAAATAACCTGGTCACTGGGTGCTATCCCATGTAAATTGAAAAACTTTTGTTTGGAGCCAATCATGTGATCAGGATAACTATATATATATAACTATATATATATATATATATATATATATACATACACACACACATTTCAGGGGCAATAAAAACACTCAGAGCAAAAACCCAACTGAACGTGGATCACCCGTTGATGACAGGTGGTTGTATCTGTAAACACCCGACCAGAATTCTCTTATTACCATGACAACACCTCAGCGATGACTACACACCATTCAAAGGAATATTCACGCAACTGAAAGAAATATTCCTAACTGTGGAAAAAAGTAAGTCTGATTATCTATCTGTATGTCCATTTCCTTTTGGAACCACCGTAATCAGAATTCATGTATTAGCACTCATACACACAACATTTCTACTAATGTGCTTCACCCACACATGCACATTCAGTCAGCAGCCATGCATACACTCTGTTAAAATGTGCTTTAGGCACATGCACATATATACATACTTTATATTGTCCAAGGCATGTGACTTTATGAACTAGCCTTTAACAAATGGAAAGTTTTGTCGAATATTTGAACTTTGGGTTTTCAAAACCAGAACACAATGTTTACCATGTAAAAACAAATGTTAATATGTACATAAATATATGATTATTTCAATCTGGTTTTCCTTTTCGCCTATGTAAAAAAAATAATTTCTTCACATTATGTATTTGTGGGCAAAAGTACTCGGATTTTAATTTTTCACTTTTAATAAGGGGAGACTCTACAATGCAAAGAAATGTTTTTTCCCCCTATTTTGTTATTGAAAAGATTCTAAATTTTGAACTGTAGCTTTAGAAATTTTAAAGGTCATAGACACTCAGTACCCTTTAGTACCCCTCTACCTTGAGTAGCTCTTGGGCTTTGTATAGAGTAAATATTAGTAAAACAAAATGAATGCAAATAGCAGTAGTTTGAGTTTTTTCAAATGAATTTAGTATACCGTAATTTTTTTATCATCTTATTTTTTAATTTAGTTCTGTAGGTATTTCAGATTATTATAATAAATAAACAAATGATGATAGGCATTTTATTTTGGTTATTTTTATACTACAATGAAAATAAATTGTCCTCCTATTATAGCAAATATGACAAAAGCATGTATTTTTTTTCTTATGTTTTAGAAAAAGGCAGGAAGGTTTTGATGGACATATGAACATGAAAGAAGTAAGACAAAGAGATTAGAAGAATTAAAATGGAGTTGGAATAAAAGTAGTGGTCTTACTTTAGGTCATCTTCTTTTACAAGTTCTGGAACAATTGTAACCAAGGCAATATAAATAAAACCACCAGCAGTAAATGGTAAGATCCAAGCTGTTTTCACTCCTGAAAGATTAAATTATGAAATAATTTTGAAGATATTCAAAGGCATAAAGGAAATGGAAAAGAATGGGAAATTTTGCACAAACATTGGAGGAAACAGAAAAGGAAGAAATAAGAATAAGAAAATTGCCAAAAATTCAAGGCTGTCATTTGTGGTTCAAATGTCAACTGAAAATCTGTAATTATATTTACTGCTTTTTAACTTCTTAAAAGCAGAAATGTAGAGATTTACTTTAGGGAAAGATTAAATATTCCCCCTTTCTGAGAAGCAAACTATTTACAAATGTCAAATATAAGCAACACACAAGTTCTTCAGGAAACAAGTTTTGCATGATTTTGTCTTTTGATAAAATCTTTCAATGTCTTAAAATGAAGTTGAAAGGAATGAAAATATGCATTTAAAGTGAAGAAACACTAAGCACTGTGATAAAGTTAATTTTATTTTGACCATAAATTTCCTCAGTTTATGACTGTATCACTGCATTCAGTCAAATTGTTTTTCCATCAGTTCAAAATATGTAACATATTTATAGCAGCTATTTAAAGTTATATAACCAGATGGTTTCAATAAAAAGAACATATTTTTGTTTAATCACAAATAGCTAATTTTTTTAAAACACTGTTTTATTTTTCAGAAAAACTGTTATATTTTTTTTTTATTAACGATGGTAATACGCATAACAGCTATGGTACAAACAAGACAAAACATATTCACTTGTCTTCAGTGGTTTCAGAAATAAAAATATAAAACTAGTTAATGATAATGAAAACAATGGTAAAAGTACATGGTTCATAAAAATAGTTAACTTTCATGAAAAAAAGATTCTTTATGAAATAAAAAATACAGCTTTTAGAACTGATTTTCAAACAATGTAAGTATGTCACTAATTTGCTGATTAAACTGTAACTTGAGTAATTTGCTATAGTGTTAGTTTACAGGAAAGTGGGTTGGACCTAGGGGAAGAAATTATAAAGTTAGTAGATGATGGAAAATGACAGAAAAATCCAAAATTTATTTGGAAAGACAAATGATGTTGATGATGATGTATTTGTCTTCTATGACTTATCAGCACTTTGCAGGTTATTTAAATCCAGAAAATATTTTTAGAGTGTAATATTTTTTAAAGATAATAATGATTTAGTGATACAAGTCTTACTAATTAACCCATAGCTGGTGGAAGAAGAGGTGGATTCATACCTTTCCCAAGGGTGTTTGCGCATAAGGGAATATAATGAACTTAACTAGAATTGGAAATCAGCTTTCTGATTAACAATTCAGAGCCACTATCTATTACACCACCTGCACATCCAAACTTACAGTATTTGTTATCCCCAAGCAGTCACCCATCTGGGCACTGATCAGGCTTGATGCTGCTTAACTTCAGTGACT